CACTTTCATTACATTATGTATGTAGGGAATACTTTAACCTAATAAAGGCAGACTCACAGCTAACATCATACTTAACAATGAAGAGCTAAAAGCCTTTCCTCTAAAATTAGGAACAAGACAAAAATTCTCAGTCTCCCCACTTCTATTTAATACATTGCAGGAAGTCCTAGTCAGAACAGTCAGGCATGCATGCATGCATGCATACATACATACCTACATACATAACTTATTTATATTGGAAAGAAAGAGGTAAACTTGTGTTTATAGGTGACATAATTATATATACAGAAAATAATAAAACTTCCACAAAGAACCATTAGAACTAATAAATTCAGTTAAAGTTGCGGGATACAAAATCAATATAAAAATCATTGTGCATTTCTACACACTACAAACAAACTATGAAAAAGAAATTAAAGCAATATCATTTATAATAGCACTAAAATAATAAAATACTTAGGAATAAATTTAACCAATGAAGTAAGACATATATACTAAAAACTATAAGACATTGATGAAAAAAATGGAAAAAAAGACAAATAAAATGGAAGGCTATGTCATATTCTTAGACTGAAAGAATTAATATTGTTAAAATGAACATATTCCCCAAAGTACTCTACAGATTCATTGCAATCCCTGTCAAAATTCCAATGTCATTTTCCACAGAAGAGCAACCCTAAAACTTATATTGAGCCACAAAAGCCCCTGCATAGCCAAAGCTTTCTTGAGAAGGAAGAACAAATCTGGGCACATCACATTTCTTGATTTAAAACTATACTAATCAAAATATTATGGTATAGCATAAAAGCTGATCATAAAATGTGATCTGTTTAAGCAAAAATGACCAAGGGGTACTTGGTTGACTCCATCCGTTAAAGTATCTGACTCTTGATTTTGACTCAGGTCATGATATCATTGTTTTTGAATTCGAGCCCCATATCTGGCTACACACTGACAGTGCAGAGCCTGTCTGGGACTCTCTCTCTCCCTCTGTTCACCCCCACCCCACTCGTGGGTACACACATATGCTCTCTCTCAAAAATAAATAAACATAAAAACATAAAATTTTAAAAATAACAAATGAAACAGATCCAATGACCAAAAATAGACCAATGCAACAGAATAGAGTCCTCAAAAATAAATCCATACATATATGGTCAATTAATTTTTGACAAAGGAGCAAGGATACACAATAGGGAAAGAACAGTTTCTTCAATAAACATTGTTGAAAAACTGGAATTCAGATGCAAAAGAATTAAATTGAACCCCTATATCTCACTATTTACAAAAATTAATTTGAGACAGATTAAAATCTTAAATATAAAACTGAAACTGCAGTACTCTAGAAGAAAACAAAGGGAATATTCCTTGATGTCAGTCCTTGCAATTTTTTTTTGATATGACAACAAAAGCATAGGCAACAAAGCAAAAATAAACAAGTGAGACTACATCAAACTAAAAAGCTTCTGCACAGCAAAGGAAACAACAAACTGAGAAGAGCCTGTGGAATGAGAGAAAATATTTACACATCATATATTTGATAAGGGGTTCATATTTATTTATCCCCACCCTTGGTTAAAAACCCTTATCACAGATCCTGACCAGTACTTAAGTTTTGCCTTATCTTACCATACAGGACTTAGTGCAATCTTGGCTGAACCTCAGTCTAACTCTTGGTGGAGCCATCTCCCATAGCAGCCTTTCCTATGTGTGATATAAAGTGAATGACAGTGGCGGCTCCTGAGTGGCTCAGTCAGTTAAGTGTCTGACTTCTGCTCAGGTCATGATTTTCAGGTTCATGAGTCTGAGCCCTGCATCAGGCTCTGTGCTGACAGCTCAGAGCCTAGAACCTGCTTCAGATCTGTGTCTTCCTCCCTCTCTGTCCCTCCCCTCCTCTCTCTCTTTCTCAAAAATAAATAAACATTAGAAACTGTAAAAATAAATAAAGTGGATGACAGTGAGGAGTTTATATAATTCAGTAGCAAAAAAAAAAAATCACAAATAGTCCACTTTAAAATGGACAAAAGATCTGAATAGACATATCTCCAAAAAAATATATACAGATGACCAATAGATCCATGAAAGTTGCTCAACATCATTAACTATCAGGGAATACAAAGCAAAACCACAATGAGATACCACCATATACCTGTAAGGATGTCTGTTATTAAAAACAAAAACAAAAAATATGCTGGTGAGGGTGTGAAGAAAATATAACCTTTGTACACTATTGGTGAGAGTGTAAACTGGTACAGACATTATGGAAAACAGTATGGAGGTTCCTTGAAAAATTAAAACTAGAACTGCCATATGACCCAAAAATCCACTTCTGAGAATATATCCAAAGGAAATGATATCAGTATCTGGAAGAAATATTTGCATTCATGTTCATTGCAACATTATTTACAATAGCTGAAGTACGAAAATAATCTAAGTACTCATGTATGGATGAATGTAGAATCAATGTGCAGTAGAATATTATTCAACCTTAAAAAATGAGATCATGCCTTTTGTAAAAACAGAGATATCTCAGAGGAGAAGTACAATAAGATAGAGAGTAAGAAAAGCAGATACTGAGTTATATCACTTACATGTGTAATCTAAAAAGCCAACAAACAAACTCATAGTAACAAAGTATAATCATAGCTGACAGGGCACCAGGGGTGGGGGAAAGGAAGACATATTGGTCAAGGGGATACAAGTTTTCAGTTGTAAGATGCATAATTTCTGAGGATCTACTATACAGCATGGTGAGGACTGTTAAAAATACTGCATTATGTACTTCAAATTTGCTAAGAGAGGAGATCTTAAATATTTCAACACACAGGGGTGTGCCTGGGTGGCTCAGATGGTTGAGTGTCTGTCTTTGGCTCAGGTCATGATCTCATAGTTTGTGAGTTTGAGCCCCACCTCTGGCTTTCTGCTTTTCGTGAAGAGCCTGCTTCAGATCTTATCTCCCTCTTTCTCTGCCCTGCCTTCTCTTTTTCTCTCTGAAAAATAAATAACCATAATTTTTTTTTTTTAGTTTCAACATACAACACATACACCCACACATAAAGGTAAATATTGAGATGATGTAGTAATCTGTGATAATTTCATAATATACGTGTATATCAAATCATATTGTACACTTTAAATATATACAATTTAATTTGCCAATTATACAAAAAGCCTCTCCTGCCAAGCACACACACACACAGAGAACAGAAGGCAGACCCATCTTATTCAGAATAAAAAGTGAAATTCTTTCAATCAACTCTTTTACAAAATTTACATGGCATTGATAATTGGTCAAATTGCATATTAAGAAAAAAATAGAAATAACCTTAGAAAACAATTGGGAAATTATTCATTATTGCATCTTCTTGTATAGACCATCTTTTAACTATGTCAGCAGACTTTTAGGTCTCCAGTAATAACATGTTACTATATGTCATATACAGTATTACATATTACTATATATTACTTTTCTATGTTATATGTATTTTTTTCCTGATGTGTATATTTTTTTATTCCTTTTCCTGATGTCTTTCATTTGGGAGTTATTGAATAAATAGAGTCCTAAAAGAATCAAATACATGTGAGAAAAATAATGTATAGGGAAAAATATAAACACTATCTGTTTAAGAACTACCCATTTAGGTAATGTTTTGGATAGCAATTAAATTCTTAGAAGAAGATATATTTTTGTCCAAAAGTGAACCAGTCCCTTTACATCCCAGTCCCAAACAAAACTTTATTGTATTGTTATTTTTAAATTTCCCATTTCTGACTTTGTTCTAAATTCTGCTCATGTGTGTGTATATCTGTGTGTGTGCGTGCTTGTGAGTGTGTGTCTATATTTACAGAATTTGGCTTTTAGTATGTCATAAGGAAAAATGGTGCCATTGGATTACAGAAAAGATAAGGAATAAATATATAGACTACAGCAAGTACATGCAAAAATTAATTCCATATGGATTTGATAATCTGTAGTTGGTTTTAGCATGATATAACAATTTTATTGCATATCATTGTGCTCACAGTATTACGTAATTTGTATCAAAAGTGTTTTCTCTTGCTGCGAATGGCCAGCAAACCCTGTGCTAACCTATGAAATATTATCCTTTGCTAAGAAAGAGAGAAGGCCTGGGGTCAATGTTCACAGTAGAAGACCCCATTTGCCTCAAGCTTATTCTCATTTATTGTAGTGTCAGGCCAATCACAAATCTTAACCGGCTTGTTGTGTAAAGATGGAGTACATTTCAGGCATGGGAAAACAAAGGGTGCATGACAGTTTGCCAGAGAATAATCAAATCAGAGATATACAACAAGGGTCTCTGTGTCCTATTGTTTTGCTAAACATTGTATACAATGTATAGATAATGGAGTTTCCCCCTGGGACTGCAGAAATGCCTGGGAAGAGCATTCCCCAGTCAGGGTGGTTACACCCATCTCTCACATTCCAAAAGACCCACACGCCTCCCAAGCTAACTTCAGCCCACCAGAAATCTCCCTGTTACACTTTAGTTAGTCAAGCATTGTGTCTAATCTCATCATCCTCAGTTATAACCCCATCACTCTCCAGATCATTTTAAATAGTAATAGCTATATATTAATCATATCCCTATATGGAGTCATATTCATTGCAATACAAAACTGTCTTCACCAGCATGACACCTCATTTTTAGAACTGAGTTCTAAATGGATTATGTGTTGATGTGCACAGAAAGATCAGAACGAATAAAAGAACTAGTTGGCATTAATCACTCTCTTCCTTGCAATCCCATGGTGCTTTATTAGTTCTTAATTTAAGAACTTAATTCATTCTGCTTTGATTTAGTATAATTTCTCTGCAAGCTCATCATCTTTCCCAAACTGTGGGTTTCTTGTATAGTGTCATGTCCCGTTCATCTTTCATATCCTACATCTAGTAATAGTTGTTCATATATTAAATGGTCATAACTCAAGAGAATATTTTTCCCTTTTTTTTTAGAGTGTGCTTTTTAAATCTCTTTCAGAAATTTGGTACAACTGTATAAAAGTGAAGATGACACAGAAATTTCAAAGAAGATTAAGACTCATTGGACTTCTCTGGGCCTAGAAGATATACAGTTTGTAAATTACTCTGTGCTGCTTAATCTGCCAGGCCCTTCTGCCAGCTCTGTGACTCTGAGCAGCAGTGGCCAATGCTTTCATCCTAATGGCCAGCCTTGCAGCGAAGAAGCCAGAAAACACAGCAACCAAGATCTGCTTTACTCATATGCAGCCTATTCTGCCAAAGGAACTCTCGAGGTAATATGACCATTTGTCTCTGTCATTTATAGTGAAATGGAATTAGAAAACAACAGCTTTCATCTAAATTGGACTAACTGGCAAGACGTAACATAAAAAAAGTAACCATTAAAATGTTCTCAGTGTGGAGGTGCCAGGGAAGGGGAAGGAAGATTTGGATTGCCTGACCTTCTTCTTGTCATATTTTGAAAGTGAAAACATGTTAAAAGAATTTAATTCAAATGTGTTGAATGTGTGACTGAGTCATTCACATTTTGCTTAGTTGGTGTAGGACAAGTTCATTTTATTCTTTGGTTTTTGAAGAGGCAAATGTTAATGGATGGATATGGACAGAAAGAACAGAGGTGAAGGCCGTGGTGTTTGAGATTGTGTACACACAGAAGAAATGAAGAGGAAAATCGACATGATTATTCACAGATTCAAGATGTGAGATACAGTGCTTCTGCTTTCTTGATGGAGAACACAGGAGATAAGGAGCCAGATCTGGATTATTGCTTTACTTTTACTGGTTTAGCCAGTTCTTTGGTGGTGGGTGAGGTGCTTGGCTTCTAGAACCACATAGACTGGTTTCAAATCTCAGTTCCTACAGCCCCCATCGTGAATTACCCAGCTAGGGCCGAGTTTCCTCATCTCTGTAATGGAGATAAAAATAGTTGCACATTTACAAGATTGTTGTTAGCTAATATATGTAAATCTTGGAGGACAGACCTTAGCCCACAGTAAGGACCATATACCAGTTAGATACAATATGTATTTGGTTATATCTCCTTTATATAGGCAAATTGTCTCTGTCCGTGTAAAAATACCATTTTCAAAAGCACACTGTGTTTCTTTTACAAACCTTTAGATTGCCTCATTTAAAACGAATGAAATAATACTGTTTCTGATTATTGTTAATTATTGGCACAGATTTTTAAGAATCTACCTTGTTAACTCTAATTAATATATTAAATATTTAAATCATTTGAAGTTACTTTACAGATACATTCTTTTTTTTTTTTTCTTTTCTTTTCATTTTTTGGGGAAGGTGGAGAGAGTCCATTTACAGGTAGTTCTACATTGTCTGGGATCTGTTATGTCATTCTCTGAATTTTAGGAGAAGGACCGCATATAACCACTACCTTGGAAAGCCTTATTAATTACATGTTAATATAATATTAATTTCTGTGGTATTTCTAGTGTGCGACCCATGTCTTTTTATTTGATTAATATATACTTTTTCTGGTAGGCAATGACGGAAGTTTACCTGTGTGTTAATGAAAAGAAAAGGAGGCCGGCCAGCGCTCTTCTGCTGGTTCAGAAGCTCTGGCCTCACGTCAAGATTCTTAAGTTACCCCACATATTTTCTTTCAGGCTTTCAAATCGTTATTACCCCTCACATCTCCAGCTCCCTCTTTATTCCAGTTGATTCATCTCCTCACCTTAAAAAAAAAAAAAATTACAAAAAGTGTCCAAAACACAGAACAAGACAAACCCCATAGGCTTGTGTGGGTTCTTGGAATCACCCTCATCAATTTGCTTTTCGATTTATTATTCCTTAACTTAGGTGATATGGAAAAGCCATGAAATTACAATTTGCGTACCTGTTTCCTCAGCATGGGCCTGTAGTGATCCACTGGGCCCATTGAGTTAGTTTTTTATGTTCCCATGTAGCCACACCTCTGAGAGTTCTACACATTTATCTTATCAGTTTAAATGTTTAAATTTTCCTGTTTCATATTAAAGAAACCAAGGTCTACTATAGAATTGTGGAACTGCTTAAATGTCCATAAAGGCATACATCATTTTGGGACCATCTACCATTATAAATGCTAAAAAAATACCATTTTTCAAAAAAGAAATATTGAGAAAGTTTTAAAGAAGCTATTAAAAGGGAAAAATAAACTTTGCTATCATGTAGACATTTGCAGTAAGGCCTAAATGAAAGGGAGTAGTGTTAGAGGAACTGAAATGCAATTATGGATAAAACAAACACCTTGTATTTGAAGAAATTAACCATGAGAATTAAATGAAGACACCGATGATAACTATTTTTAGAATTATATTAATAATTCAAATCTATTATGCTAAGTGCATAATAATTTAAATATTTATATCAATAAATCTATTGATGTTGATTTTTTAAAACCCCAACTATATTAGCATTATGATTTTCAAATGCAAAGCAGTTCCTAGGTGACTATTTTATATGCATATAGAGTATTTGCATATATTTTATATACATGTTTTAGACAAGTATATTATTGAAACTCACATATTCTAATTAATAGGATGTGGGTGATTTTCTGTATCTCTTCAGACCATTCCCTAATTAAAATCAAGCTTGAGAGGTTGCTGCTGATGATTCAGGCATACCTACTTTGTGATTTTGAGTACACTGGGTTTGCATGAATTTCTATCAGGCTGAGCCGTTAACAACTTCTTAAATTATTCTCGTCTGAGTGCCAGCAAAGCTCCCTGCTACTTTTGTTTTTGACAAGGTTATTTGTAGAAGAGGAGTGCCCCTTTTGTTTGAAGTGCTGTCATGTCCATTCATCATATGACCATTTTGTATAAGCTTCCAATTTTTGCTTTCTGGTAACAGTCTAAACAGCATTTGTGATATCTGAGATCTACTTAGAAAACCTACTTAGTGCCAGCATGATGGATGGTGTACTTTGCAACTTCTTTGTAATTCATTGTGCACTAGAAAGGTGACATTGTTTACCCCATCATAATGACAGGTGGGTCAGTAAAGGGGTCCTAAGGAGAGTTGTCCTGTCAGATGCAAAATACATATTAAAATGGATACATAAATAATTTAGCATGAGTGAGGTTAGCTTCAGGGAATAAACAGTGATTTATATTTTTATTAAAAGATAAATATCAACTATAATATCATCATACTGTTAAAGACATTGGTAGTGAATGCTGATAATGTCTAGTCAGTTTTATAAATAGAATATATGGCTTTATGCAATCCCTGTGCAATTATTTCTTTTGTCCTTTGTGAAATCCACATAGCTGCAGAAAAGCAAAGGAAACAATTAATATTTAATATAGGTTGGTAAGATTGGAGTCTACCGTGTTTATATTTTTGAACAGAGGATCTGTTTTCATTGTAATACAGTTTATGGATTTGGAAATTTTCTTTGTGTTAAGTATTATTTTGTGTTTGGAAGTAAAAACAAAGAATGCAATTTTATGGAGAAACTTATTTTCAACAACTCATTAACTGTGCATAAGATAGATTGTCATCAACACATTTATCACTACCCCATTCCTCAGAGAGCCCAGAGTAGCACCCTTCCTTACTAGCTGCACAACTGTGGGTTGGTTACTTTAGTTCTCTAAGCCTCAGTGTTCTCATCTGTATAAGGGGAACGGTATAGTGCCTCCATTGGCCGTGGCGGGGAATATATGATATAAACCAGGTAGGGCATATTGAGTGCACTTAGAACAACTCTGTAGCTTTTAGCTATTATTATTACATGGTGTAAAATAAAAACATTTAAATGGCAGAAATTAAAGTATGATAACTATATATCATAATTTGAAACTTTTATCATATTCTCTGAATGTAATCTTCCAGTCTTCTGTTTAATATAACAAGTATTAATTATTAGGGAGGAAATGCCTTGTTAAATATGAATACATATGTTATCTATACTTAAATGTTTGTTAGAGAGGTTACATCTTCTACCTGGGAAAGATAACCAAAGCCTATTTTATGGAATAAAAGTTTTGAAACAAAGATAGCTGAATTCAGTTAAGTGGTTAAAATACAGTGAACATTTTTCCCTTTTCATTAACACAAACGTGGCATTTTTAGTGAGAATGTCTTTGACTACAAAGTTCTTATTTGACTAAAGTTATTTCTAAAGTCTCTGAATAGGGGTCGCCTGGGTGGCTCAGTCAGTCACACATCCAACTTTGGTTCAGGTCATGATCTCACAGTTTCTGGGTTTGAGCCCCGCGTCGGGCTCTGTGCTGACAGCTAGCTCAGAGCCTGTAACCTGTTTCAGATTCTGTGTCTCCTTCTCTCTCTGACCCTCCCCTGCTCATGCTGTCTCTCTCTCTCTCTCAGAAATAAATAAAAACATTAAAAAAAATTTAAGGTCTCTGAATAGTCATAATTAAGAGTTATCTGACAGAAAATTCTAGGTTTGCATTTTTATTTTGACATAGTAGAAAGCATACTTCTTACCAAATTAAGTGATAATTTATTAATTAAGTAATAATTAAATGATAACATTCTTAGCAAATTTAATTTATATTTTAATTTCCATAAAATGCTAGCATTTAAATATGTAGCTTACATATAAAATGTATCTCACTTCACTGGGTACTGCAAATTCAGTTTTTTTCAAAACTAGAAAGATCTGTGGAAAAGTTGACCCTTAGGTTTATGTATTATTTCAATATGCTAATCTAATTGATTTAAAAAGTTTTTTAATGTTTATTTTTGAGAGAGAGAGAGAGAGAATAAGAGAGCAAGAGTGGGAGAAGGGCAGAGAGAGACAGAGACCGAATTCAAAGCAGGCTCCAGGCACTGAACTGTCAGCACAGAGCTAGACATGGGGCTCAAACCCAAGAACTGTGAGATCATGTACTGAGCCGAAGTTGGACGCTTAACTGACTGAGCCACCCAGGTTCCCCTATCTAATTCATTTTAAAAGAAGCAGAATCTGCCCTATTACTTTCATGGCCTCTAGGAAGAATTCTCTTGAATGAGTTTGCAACTCCTTCAATATCCTTACCTTAATAAGTTGAGTATCATTTATTAAATAAAGTACCCTGTGATTATTAATTTGTTTTTTCTTATATTTTAATTTGATAGTGAAAGATTAGGTGACTAATAGAGCATTTAGCCATCTGGGTCTCACTCATAACAGGAAACATTCAACATTCAGCAAATACATACTGAGTACCTCTTAGGTACAAGTCACAGGGGACAAAGTGATAAATAAGAAAGCTCTAGACACTGTCCATATGGAGCTGGCAGTCTAATAGGAGAAACT